TTATATATATATATATATATATATATATATATATATATATATATATATATAAAACGTATATCGTAGCACTTTGGTTTCATCCAAATGTGACGCAATCCGTTTTTGAGCTCCTGTCTCATCCGTTCCTATCACCATCGGTGACAACTTGCATTTATGTGTATTCGTATCCCTGAGCGGGCTCACGGTGATTGAAATAATTGATATAAAGTTTAGTTTCTTTGTGGAATATCACCTGGAGCGACTCAATTGGAAACCGGATCACCTAAGTTTGATTTTATTGATGTCTGTTGCTGAACCCTTTCGGCAAAAGGAGAGCTTTTTCATCCTGTGCTATATCAAAACGTTGTAGAAAAGCAGGTGATTCTTACATTTCGTTTTTCCTCTTAAATTTGCTAATTACTGCTCTGTTTATAGGTTTGGTTCAGGTAAATTGGAAAAAACTGGAAAAAGCTCTTCGTATGATTTCCGTGGTTTGACATGCCATTTCTGTGCGGTAACGGTATCAAGTGTATTACCGATAACGTCATTCGATTTGACCTCTAGATGTACTATTATCTCTTCTTGGTTAATATTAGGGCAACAAACATTATTCTAATCGCTCGAGCCTTTTTGAGTGTGAAAAAACGAATTTGTAGTGCGCTTCGGTTTTTTTGTTGTTGTTGTTGTGTTCTCCGATCTGGAAGTGTTGCTCGCTACAACCATTTCACATCATTTCCGGCTTCAGTTTACTGTTTTTGTATATCACATTCAAGTTGCTTATAACCGATAATTCTCTTATTCCCCTAAATATCTGCTAAATCCATATCACACTATAAGCAATTTGCACCCTATTTTTTGTGGATATCATGCTATCAGAAAGGAGTCAAAAAGCTTTTGTGCGTTAAGATTTAACTTTTATTGATCACTGGATTTTCTATTACATGGGGCTCAATTTGATAGCTTGAATATTTCCTGCGCGATTGAGAGTTGTGACCGCAAAAAAATAATAAGTTCCTTCGAGTTGCTACTGGGAATTGGCGTTCTCTTGTATGAATGACTCTTCGGGGTAAGGCAAAAAGCTGTACAAAAATTATCATGTTATATACCATTTAAAATCCGCAGTCTTATTCAGATGATAATATAATGTTTGAAATGGATGTTTCAAGTGACCATCGTTGTTTATTACGGCAACAAAAGCCATGAATACGAATAGTGATTGTGATTTTACTTTGATGTGCTGATTCCTGGACAGGGCAACATGAATTGCATCAGGGCTGAGCTCACAACCATTCCATCTAATCGCATCGGGGCTGTTTGGGTTCCAGTTGTTCAACGTAACTGTGAATATGAGCTACTGGAAGTCGATGTGGTACACTATTGGAGTTATGCATCTCATTGTCTATAGTCCGATTGAGCCTATACAACAAGAATTAAGGCTGGATTAGTTGTCTCTATCTTCTCGTTTGTGTACTTTGCAATAGAGAGTGATATCTGTCACCATTATCCATTCTGTTGCTAAAACTCACTACTTTGAAGCAGCATTAAATGCTGTAAAATGAAGCGATTACAGTTGTTGATTTACGATTCCAATAGACCTTCCAATGATCGTTGGCATGGAAAACGGACTCTTATTGTTTGTTTAGTACATTGTTGAGAGCATCAATTTTGTTGCAGTTTGCCAAACCCTTTTGCGTCACTATTCCACGTTGGTGCACCATTGATACTACAAACGTCGTTCTACCTCTAGCTAGCCCTTTAATGTGTGTGTGTGTGTGTGTGTGTGTGTGTGGAATTGTAAGTTGATGGCAATACAAAGAGTAGCTAATGTGATTCGTTTGAATGGCAATTTCGATGACTGCAAGTATTCATTGCATTCGTAGAGTGAAGCAAACGCAAACTGTCACATACGATTGACTGAATCTATTATTACCCTTATCTCCAGTTATAACTCCTCAACGAGTGCACAGTCAAAAGGGGGTAATTTGAATCAGTCTCGTTTTGTGAATGGTCAGTAGTTGTACAAGATAGCCATCGATTGTGGTAGTTTAGGAGGATTGATTCACGGGGTCGTTGAACAATCACCAAACAGGTCGGTTTTTGATTTATCTATGTAATACCTTGTGCGCTACGAAGCAACTATGAGAGGGTCATTTGCCAGTGCAGGGTGATTGATGACCTGAACGACGACAATGAAATTATCGTATTGATTCACAGAAGATGTGAAAAGTGAGCGGAGTTACGGGCTGTGTGTTCAGCTCTGATCGAAGCAAACTATGTAGCTCTTTCAAGGTCAGACTCTTCTGTTTGGTTTGACCGTAAGTATTCGATGATCTTAGGAGCTCGAAATGCTCGAAATGATTCGAATTATCGGGTCAATATAATGGTTTGAGATGGGTATTTAATGTGGGGAAAATTTTTCTTCAGACCATAAATTAATGTACTCACAATCAACAAACTATTTGAAATTGCATATTTCTGTAATTGCTGAACATTTTAAAGGAAGATTATGGCAATTTACTCATGTACACACCTGCAAGCATTTAGAATGATATCTTTGGCTTTTAAGCCCTATACGAGACAAGCAACTGCCTAATTTTGTTTGCTGTACCGCTTTGTTGCATCTCATTTTAGGATTACTCATTTCCTCAAGTGTTCGATCGGGAATATTTGAAGAGATTTTACAAATCTGCCGAGAAAATCTCATTTGATGTGGATCGCTATAACGAGTTATGCGACCAGCTGGCAGAATTAAAGTCAGAGCTACGACGACTACGTGATCCGCTTTACTGCAATTTACCACTTCAACAAACTGCATACCTGGTACCGGAAAGAGTCGAGCAAAGCCTGGCCCGTGGACCACCAAAGTTTACCACCACTACTACGACTACTCCTCCTCGACCATGAGAACACAGTACTCCGACATATGTGAATTGGAACAACTCAGACATGACTAGATGGCGCTTCCTCTAGACACCTGACTAGTATGTTTATGCGCTCTAAATGCAGCCTGAATTGCACATGCGCATATTGTCCACAGGGCTTCTCATGGCTCAGCTGTGGACCAGTTTTCCTCCAGAAGAAATTAGGTTTTTATACTGTTGTACCTATGTTTGTTCCAAGTTCATCATTCTTCCTTAACAGAGAGAACACAACATTTTTACCAATGACATGTGCACATTCGTTCGTACCTTTCATTTTGCTTTGTCTTCTATCTCGTGATCAGTATGCTCTCTGTTTTCGTTCTCTTTTCGTCCTGTTCCGAATGTGTTCACCATCAGTCCTAACATCGTTTGACAAGTTTTCATTATTAAGAATGTTATTGCTCTTCCTTCCTAATTGCCAAGCTCAATACAGAATGAATGCCTCATTCTGACGACGGTTTATGGTGAAACTGTGTACAGAAGACAGACAAACAAACATGTTCACCACTTCCTCTATTCCCTTTTACTCTCAGACCTCGCCTTCGCCCGGCCCCCGCCCCATCCTTTTCCCGCAGTTGTGCTTCTTCCGAACTCAAACACACCATGTATCCATCCACCGTTTTCTCTCAGTGCATATGCTGTCGGTTGTTCGAGTACTGCTGCTGCTCGGTTCACTATGTTTATTCACACAGAGTTCTAGGAACACTGACGCTTCCGGTAAACCCGTGGTTTAGTCTCTTTGTTTTCCCTTGTACTGTATTCCTCTTTAACCGATTGCGCCGATTCTACTACTTTGCTTTCCACATCGCACCTCGAGAACCAAAGCTGTTTGTGATGCTTTCCCGCTCCATTCTCTGGCTCGTCTAGCTGAGCGCAGTGTAGCATAGTGTTGCTAACTTTTAATCCGTTATATTATAATCATTATTATTATTATTATTATTAAATATTTTACAGATTCCGCAATATTTACTTATTTTCACACAGAAGTTCTCCCTCCCGGCGAGGTCAATTCTATTCTTTGTGTATTAACCGAAGTGTAAAACGTTCGACGACTTACGGGTACTGGACCTTGTTGTATCTCGGGAATCAAGTGTTTTCGGGACCTACGAGAAGCCACAAATGCAGATGCATCTATGGCTGGGGCAATAATTGTAAATCTCAGTGAAGCGCTTCCTCGTGCTTGTGTGCGATATAAATCAATGGAGTAATGGTAACACGTACTTCGAATAGACTACCCTGTTCTGTTGTATGCTGCATACTAATAAACAGTGATTAGAAAATGAATACTGTTCGTACGCGCGACCGTTGTCCTGTTTATCTGGGGTTGCAGGGGACGAATTGATAGGACCCACTTGTTTGTGTTCAGCTGGGACTTTTTTGGTATTATACAGACCAGTGTTTGCAGAGTGCTTGCAGAAACAACCAAACGGGCACGATCCATCGAAGCCCTGTTCATACTGAGATACCTGTTGTGAATAACCAAGATATATTCCTGAAGCGAAATGTTTTTGTTTAGCAGAGACGAACATTCAAAGCAGTATTTATTATTGTCACCAGCACTTCTGTCTTTATTAATTGTGACTCTATTGCGATGAATGAATGCCAGATTGGATTAATCTCTTCCTGAAATGCATTTCAATTGTGAGAACAGTGGAGTGATGCCGAAAATCTCTGTCTCGCGCATGTTAGGAACACCAAAATTGTAAATTGAGACGAGGTACTCCTGATATTCTATCATGTGATAAAACATTGTCTGCAGCATGCAACGGATGAGATGCAGTGGGTTAATTCCAAGTTCCGTTTGGCAACCTGATTTTGCCTTCTCTATTCACAGATTCTGAATTTTTCCTTTTTCTAAGACTTCCTAACATTATCGGGAAATTGTCCTTTTGGGGTTTCTTGGAAATGCTAGTACAAGTTCTGGAAATTGATTATTAATTCCCTAACTGTTTCCTCTTTTCTTTTCTACTCCACATATCTCTGCATTTTTTATTTTCATTTTTACTTCCTTTTTATTGAATACGCACGGATACAATTTTCAGGAAGGAGGAAGCAGCCAATCAAAGGGCTACTATTTAACAGACAATGAGGAAAAAAGCGGTAGTGGTGGGATTCGAACACATCTCCGGAATGACAATTTGGTGACGTTACCACCGGGCCACCACCTCTCTTCCGTGTAGATATTTACATGATCTTCTGCCATTGTAAGTTATTTTATTTTTACAGGCATAAATATATTAGTGTCAACATCGCATCCTCCGTTTGAGTAATCAGTGAAATGGTACGCTTGTATAGCTATTTGAAAGTCAGAAGCTCCACCAAAGTGGTTCTATCGCTTCCTCGAGTTGGTCAACATGATACACAAAGGTGACTTTTATCATACTATTAGCATCTGATGTTCATAAATTTATCCATTACTTGTTTGAAGTCGAAAGACAGAAACAGTTTGAACTGATTTGTCGACAGAAAATCTCCTTTATTCGGCATACTTCTGACCGCTCATGATTTCTATCCCAATGATATCCTCGTTGGCCCAAAATATTCAATCTATCGGTCAGCTGATCCATTGTGTATGATCGCACCCTGTCGTTCGCTCCATTGATTTCCATCAACAGAAATAGCGCGGTGCCACACACATTCACACAGACCGAACGAATGTTTGGCTGGCCAGACAAACTATAGGATGAATGTCTTGTGACTAGAATATGGTTTGAATCGATCCGCATGCACGTGCCCATTGCCCAATTTAGGTACAGAGATTCCTGTTCACCTGCACACTTAGTTGGCACAGAACAAGTTCACTCCCCATCTACACAGTGATTCCGACAAAGCGTTTTTCCCCAAGGATGTTTAAACACTGTTGCCACAGCTACAAAGTCGTAGGAAATACGTCAAAAATGGCGTTGTTTAACCCCTAAAATAACGGTTCTCAGAATAGTCAAAGCGCAGCCGTATGGAAACTTCGTTCAGTGTATCACAACACTAAAATGATACAGAGATGTAAGAAAGCGATTGTCCACAATGAGACATTCCAATGATTAGTAAAAATCCTGACATTGTTACCGAGTTTGGTCGTTAGCATATCCAATTATTTCATAAAATGGGGATATATATAAATATAAATATTCATTTGTTTGTAAAATATTCTGGTAAGACAATCAAGTCACGTTTGTTGTAGTGAGTGGCTTTTTATCCACCTACAAAACGTCGAAACATGGTAATGGTTGATAAATGGACTGGTCCTGAAAAGCCTATTCAAATAAAGGTTCCCGGTACTGCAAATAAGATATTTGTGTCAAAACTACGGTTGCTAATTTGCGAGAAATGTTCTGAGTTACGATAAATGCTAACTGAAATGCGGAACTCCTTATATTTCCTCCTGGTAAAACGGCGTATATGGTTTTAAAGAACAAAGCAGCCGAGTTGTTTTCCTTTACGTTTTCGGGGCTGTTCATGATAACTCTCTCTGGATTGTGCTAGAAAAAATTGATATTTATTCGATTGAATATATATTTTTGAAGAAAATCTGTCTTTATTCGTTCTATAACAGTATTACAGCTTCCATAAGCTGTTTTATTTACTCACATTCCAATCTAAAAGACATCATTGATGAAGACACACGTTGGTGAATAGTTTAATCTGATTTGACGCACCCCATTTGATTGTTAGTTTACCATTATGTTAGCGTAGGATACTTTGGATACTTTGGCACAATATAATGAATAGTTGACCCCCATAGTTATATTAAATCCTTATAGGAATGTTTGGATTAGCCAGGACGAAAGAAAAACAAAAAAATAATTTTCGGTTGACTACGTTTCGACCCTCTTGGAAAGCCTTTTTCAAGTCAATTAGCAAGTGAACATCAAACAAAAACTGTGAGAGAAAAGCGTATCTATTGTAGATGTTTATGGTTGGTCTAGGAGGAGGAACAATGGAGTTGGTGTGTGTATGTGCTATGAGAAACATGAGTCCCTGCCCTAATAGCAGATAGTCTGCAAAAAGGGAAAACAGCGTGACTCGTTTCAGTGAGATCAATATGTGCCCGTATTGTTATGAATATTGAAAAGTGTACTTTTGTGTAACTACTCCTGCGTTATTATTGGGATCTGTTTCTATGACAGTCGTGTCACAAATATCTGTGTATTGCGAATATGATGTTTGGCTTTGTGATAACTTGTGCAAGCAACTATGCCTGCATTTTAGATGCTGCGAAGTTATCAACAGAGAGAAAAGGAGACCAAGGCTGGATGAATAGAATTAGTCTATAGATCTCGAACAAAGCCCCCATCTCGGATTCATCTTTGCAGGATTTCGCAAGTCTGTTTGCATGATATCACATTATTGTTTTGAGTTAGATTCCGCCAATCTGAACTTACTCGAAACCAGAACTGTTAGCTGGATATGTAACTGAAATACTTCGAATCACTTGACCGGGTTTCATATAACTGTTGACGCGAAAGCAACTGATGTTTCGTGGTAGAAAAACTAAACATGAACTCATGAAATTGTTTAAGCAAACCGGCACTGTGCCATTTAAGTGTTCAGCTGCATCTTCCTTCGTGGATTTGAATATAAAAATAACCGCAACCAACAATAATGATTTTTAAACTCCATACTCGACTCAGTTACCTGTGAGCAGTAGTAAAGTTTGGATGATATTGATGTGGAATAACCATCATGCAGACTTCATTTTGGCGCACAATTCTTAGCTCATCCAGCCGATCCCACTCTCGGGAAGTGCCAGGATCGAGGTTTGCTCTCCTCAGAGACCATTAGCAGTATATATCTCATGCCCCCTACAGGCTATAAAAATCCGAACATATCTCATGGAATTCGAATGAGGTTAACACTGTCAGCCAATTCACACCTAGTCTAACCAAAAGTACCAGTTTACGTTTGTTCAGATGCCGCCTTCAGTCATTTTCGCTCAGTTAATTAGGCCTGACTGCAGAGAGAGGAAATGGAATTGATTATCTGTTA